CGAAGATCGTCCATTAGCATCGAATGTCACGTTGTCATCACCGTTATATCGACGTCCGCCATACAGGTAAGTGGTGTTAGCATCGATATAAACAGCTGTGATCAATCCCTTGATATCAATAGGATAAAAAGTCACATTGTTGTATACCACGGAACAAATTGGCTCTTTCTCTAGAGTGGCGGCTGGTGCCAACGCATGACTTAAACCGAACCACGCTGGAATGCAATAGCCCGATGTTGCGTTGGTACGCTGAGCACAAAAATTCTCCTCGCATTCACTGTGATCGGTGCATGGTGTAGTACGATTTGCCACCGAATCGATGCCAGACTGAGCTGAAACTTTATCCATAAAGTCTTTCACATCCAGCCCAAAAGCTCGCGCATACTTCTCAGCAGGACTCATCTCGCCCGACAAGTAACAGAAATTTATACTGTCGTTCATCGTGAGCCAGCTTGGGCCATTCCATGGTGCTGGCTTGTGTTTCGCCGACGTGAGCATTTTTTCCAGCTTTCTTTCCGCCTTCACTCCGAAAAATTCTTCCATCTTCATCAGATCTTCATTCTCTCTCATGGCCTCAAGTTTACGATTCAAAGTGCTTGAAATTTTATGCGCTTGCAGCGCAATTAGGACAGCAACCGTCGAGATGATGTCACGGCCTCGCATGAGATTTTCGTGATGCTGTATAAGGTGCTTTTTGTCAGGTAAGGCAGGAGTGGTACGTAAATCGGTATGCAAGATGCATTCATGATTGGTGTAAAATGGGCACTATCGCACATCACGATTGATGTGGGAAGAAGACCCAGGAAAGAGGACATATAGTAAGTGCACTCTCATATGTTGTTCTTCAAAGCGAAGGTGGTCGATACGCATTCAAATCTGTTGTAGTCAAGTAAACGATTTTACAGTAAGATAGAAGATATAAGACGAATTCGAATCTGAGACAAACTCTGAAATGCAACACAACTTGGCGTTGATTACTGCCACACAATCTAATGAGGAATTCCCGAAGATCGCTTTTTATTTTCTCATTCAGCTGAAGATTATGTCCACTGATACGGATTGGTTGTGATCTGTACCAAGAAACCACAAGTTTTTTTTGCACTGCATTTGCTGGTGCTGTCAAAAGAGGATCTGCAAGGATGGGATTCTGTTTCTATATATGCTGTAAAATGTTCACTTGTCTGTGTACTCCACAGAAGCGATTACCTCAATTTCTTTTCAGAAATTTTGTAGAAACGCAAGTTTCCTCGGTCGATTCTGACCTTTGTCACAAATAGTACTTTCATTTTATAGCAATTGCTAGACTATTAAACCTCATCCAGTATTCTCACTTCGTCACAAGCCTAAGCACGTGTACAAAGTGGTTTTTGTTGATCCTGGCATGTATTAATAAACGCTTAGACGATAGGCTAAAAGGTTGCCAGACCAAGATCCTCTCAAGAACGCACTGCACAAGTAACAAAGTGATATATCTGGAAATTGAAAAGGCAAATAGCAAAAATCGTAACTAATTAAATTCTATAGAATGTACATTTGATCATCCATCCTCATTAAAAACCCTGCCTTACGCGCAATGGTATCGTATCTAGTATCAGTTTCCACTCGAGTCGCACTGAGTCCGAAGGACAGTATTCACAGGGTGCGTGCCCTTGACCTTCGAAAAAGCGGGGTCCGTGGATGTGGGCTGCTAGTCTCACGCAATGCGTTAAGCAAAATTTTACTATCAGAAAAATGTAAACATATTTCTTGTGAAACGGGATCACACAATATGATGTGACCATACATTGGTGTGGCCCCACCTTAACAATAAGGTGGCTAGAACAGCCAGTAGTCATACATTTAGTTAGTTTTTACTATCTAATCAGGAAAACCTATAGATTTAGATATGGGCGGCTTTGCCGCAGATAAAAACAAAAAATACAGCTTACATTTTAAACGGAAGAGGCAATTAGCCTTAGTTTCTTGTGTACAGTGCTGGCCAAAAATATGTAGCCATGAGTATTTCTCAAATTTTTACGTCAAA